ATATATATATATATATATATATCAAATACTTAGGGTTTATAGTATAAAACATAATTACAAGGATTTATAGTATAAAAAATAAAAAAAAAGATATAAATGATTTAAAACAAGTCAAAAATCCACGTCTTGCAATACTTAGGATTTATTTATACCTAACTTATTTATCTTTTTATTTGAAAGTTACTTTAAAAATTAGAAATTCCTTTTAAATTAAAATTTTAAATTAGAAATTACTTTAAAAATCTACGTCACATAAAAGTATAAATTTTTTATTATTTTTTTTTCAAATTAAAAATTCCTTTTAAACTAAAATATGTTTGGTAAAATGTTTCAAACTGTTAGATTTATTTTAAAAAAATTATCTTGTGAAGTAAAAGTATATTTATTAAATAAAAAATAATTTATAAATTATTTAATTTACATAAAATTATTTGATTATTAAAAATAAATAAAAATAACAATATAAAAATTATACTTTTAATTTATAAAAGTTTCAAAAGTTGTTTTATTTAATAATATTTTATTGTAATAAGAAATTACAAATATACAATGAATGAACAAAATAGCACAAAACTTATTTAATATTAATATGATTACATTATTTTTATGTCTTTTAAAAAAAATAAGGCTAAACTTACTTTTAGTCCTGAGTAATATGTAATTCATAATTATTATTATTTTTTTTTACAAACATTACAATCTTGTTTGAGACACATTTGAACACTAACACTACGAATACCTCTCCTAATGGGATTTGAACCTTGATTTACCATGTTGTGGGGGAACTAGCCTATTATGCTAAACTCAACCTTCATTAGTCAACAATCCAACCCACAATTTTGATCGCTTAACTTTAATTCTATGATTTTAGTTACATAAATTTATAAAATCTATAATTTTAATAGTTAACAAGGCATTGATTCAAGTGGTACTAAACTTAGTCTCTTAAACAAGATTTCGAGTTCAGCTTTGTGTATAAAAAATAACATTGTTGAGAGAAAAGATTTTATTAAAAGTAGTCAAATAAGTTCTCTAATAGACATTAATCATCGACGAAACTAATAAATACTTCATACCAATAACATTGTTATAAAAAAAAAAGTGTGACTATTTTAGAGGGTCAATCCCAATTCACACTTGAACTTAGCACTACTACATTTGTGTTAAACACAAAATTAATGACATGACACAAAATAAAGACAA